TAAGCACTTCTCAGCACCAATCCCTGCAATTAACACCAAACACCACATCTGAGTAGAATCCACCCAATTAATGCAATATTTAGTCAAACAATTATGCAATATTACCCAAAATATCTCACTAACATGCACCCTATCAATCGGGATGAAGTATCAATCATTGAAGGTGTGAGAAACTGTCCACCGATTCCCGTCCAAAATCAATATTGGACTCCATCTTTTTCTTGACCCTTGAATCACCTGCCTAGATTCACCGTCAAGTATTTTCATGCTTTCGTTTCTCATCCTTCACCATCAATGCTTTTTGCTAAGCCATTGAAATAAGGATACCATTCATTAAATTATTCAATTAGGAATAACTGTCAATCCACTTGATCTCAATAGTTAACTTGGATCCAACCACGAACTTTGCTCTATTGCTCAGTCTCGCAGCTTGAAGCTCTGATACTACTTGTTAGGATCCAGGTGCGGAATAAATAACTATTGAGATATCAAGTACACAACAATTTACTGGCAAACACGCTACAAGCATGACAAATAAAGGACATACAATATGTAACGTGATTCGACTCCATCATTGAGCCTACGTTCACGGAGAGAAATTTGTTCTTTATTATGAGAGGAAAAATCCTATACAAGAATATAATTTGAACCAAACCTAACTATTGTATACCATCTCTCATCTTCCAACAACCCTCTGTCATACTCTGTGTAAGGCTACATCTTGTCCGTGTGTGCCCTTGTGTGTCTCTTGTGTAGTATGCTAACTCATCTATTTATAGGGAATATTATTTGGTCAAAAAAACCCAAATAATAATAGAAAACAAATTCTAATTCCTAGACTTATACATAATAGGAAATAACTTCTAATGTTAAACAAAATAGAATATTTCTTGGATACCACTTCAAGTAACTAAAATCAATTAGGAAACTATTTACTTTCACACAAAACAAGAATCCTACCTAAAAGAAATTAAGTCAATTTCCTACCACTTTTGTTGTTGCAGTTGCTGTGATGTGTACTATTTGAAATTTAGGATGCAACTCTTAAATTTCAACTGGTTTCTTTTATTTGCTATTGTTTGTTGGTTGAGACGGGCTCGGACTTCCTTGTCAGTTGTCATTTAAGGCCTCGTTTGCGGTTCTTTTTGAAAAAAGTCCAAAAGGAATTTACGGTCTCGTTTGGAGTTGCAATTATTTATAAAAAAAAAACACTTTTAATACAAGTGCTTAGAAGTGCTTTTAACAAAAGTGTTTTTAAATTACCAAAAACTAAACTCCTTAAGTTACAAAAAACTAATTACCACACACCTTAAAAGTACTTTCATTATTTAAAAGCTTTTTTTTTATTTATAAATGTACCCCAATCCTAAAAGGTCTAAAAACTCTAGAGCATAATAGAAAACAGGACAAATTTATCCAAAAGGGTCTAAGAATTATAAGATAAGAAGATTCAAAATTCAATGGAAGGGTATACAGTTGCATGTTAGGGAAGTGAAGTATGGCTTGTAAACCTCCCCTAGAAAGTCCCCGAAGTTGCTCTTGCGGATTTGACATAAGTGAATATGCCTATTTGGTTTCCCCAAAAAAAAAAATCATAAAATGCATAAAATTTGAAAAAATTGTGAGTGAGGTATGGGTCACTGTTCACAGATTAACATATCTAAAATATTTATCTTTAAATGATTAAACTACCCTCATACAATATGCTTTTTATCGAATAATGTGCATCATAACAAGAAGAAATGTGTACTTTTACGAACGTTAGTGTACATTTGGAATATGGATGCACATATACAAACACAAATGTGGACATATGAGCATATGCCCCCTACAACATTTTTGAATTCAAACATGTACTTTGATAATTTTATGTGTATGTTGAGATGTGCAAATTTTGGAAATTTGGGCTAATTTTGAAATTTTACTACACATTGGATTATTTTGGTAAAAACCCTTTAAAACTTGAGCTAGTAAATTTAATCTCTTCTCATTAATAACAAATAACAAGAAAGTTATCAATCCCATTTGTACAAATTGTACAAGAAAAAAAGTGATGAATGTCAAGCAAAAACTCTTCCATATAAGCAAGTTGCAACAAATTCGTATGCTCAAAGAGTGTTGGCAGACTATCTGATTTTCACTTCTAATGGGTTCTATTTTGGCAAAACCTAATTGATACGTTTAAAATTTAGGATACTGCCGCTTGGACTGCAGGAAGGTTACCTAGCAAGTTTGGGGCAGATGAACCTTGTGGTCAGTATTCAACTGTTTATGGGCGCTGTAAAAGTTGTATAATGTGTTTTTACTCATCACAAATAATTTATACAATTTTTTAACAAGAACTGAAAAATGAAAACACTCTATTTGGAAAAATAAACAAATCTAAATTTTTTGCACGAAATCTGGACTACACCTTTTCTTTTCATCTTGTTCCATTTGTGAATTTGGAAGACAATTTGCATATGTATTGTATATCCAACAGCGATAGAATCATAATAATATATACACTGACAGTGTATATAAGATTTACTCTTTCTTTTATAGATGTGGTATATGACAATAGAGTTCACCTATAAAAGCAGCTTCAAATCATGACATTCCTAAACAATAGATACAAATATGAGAATTTAAAATCAAAGAGGTGGTAATCCATTAAGTCGTATGTCATTTAATAAAGGATTTTTCGTGATAATATTAGTGAATAGTTGACTTTTTGGTAGTTCGATCGTTGTCAATCTCATTCCTGCATAGTGGACTTTAATTTTTTTCCTCGGTAAGACAGTATGTGTCTAAAAGAATCTACATCAATGGTTAATTCGAGTAAGTCCTCTTGAAAAATACTTTTTTCTCATCTTATTCTCCTTAAGGTTGAATTGCACCAATCAAAAAGAAGTTCTTATCACTCTTTCCTCTTTCTCTCTTTCTTCTCTCTAGAATAAAAAATTCTAACTAAAACTCCCTTCAACTCTCCCATGGAATATAGATCAGATTTTTCTGATCTTTCCCTATGGGAGGAGCCTTCTCTATAGATTCTTTTTATTTGTGTGAATAAAATTTCTTCTAAAATTTTCTAATAAGAGTTTCTTCTCTCTTTAGGGTTGTCTAGTGAGAGTTTTCTTCTCTCCTAAATTTTTTAGTGAAGTTTTATTCTCTCATAGGGATTTCTAGTGAGAGTTTTTGGTAATTTTTTCATTTTTCTTTTATTAGATCTGAGTTTTTTCAAATTTTGATTATCAGATCTGGAATTTCTTGGATCTATTCGGTAAATCTTATCATAATATCTAGACTTGAAGCAATTAATCAGTAGATCTGGCGATTGGAAGTATGCACAGATGTCCGTGGAATTATTATTTTCTCTCATTTTTTAAATTTGGAGCTTTATAATATAATTTTTATTGTTCTTAAAATCTGGAATATCCTTTCTTCATATATGTTCTTTGATATCTATATATGTTTGATGCTGTAATTTCTGCTGTTAGTGCAGATGTTAATGCAATTATGATATTTATTTAAAAAAAGAATCTACATCAATGACTAAGAAAAGAATCATGTACACTTTTACAAACAATTTAGTCTGAGCTGGGACACAAATTTGGATAAATTAGTGTAAACTTTAATATACTCTATTAGTCTTCATAATTGAATTAGCTGAAAGAAAATAGTAAAATTAATCATTCCTTTAATTTAATCTTGTATGACGTTAATGATTTCATAATAATGGCATAGAGTTTGATAAAATACTTCTACTCTCTCTCTCTCTCTCTCTCTCTCTCTCTCTCTCTCATTTTTAAAAAGATTTTAGATTATCTTTGAGGAAAAGCACCATATTATATTGAATAAATGTCAATAGGTCTGCATCACATTCGTTATGACTTGTGATTTATGATTTCTGCTTCAATATTTCTATGGAAAGTAGGACAATTAGCAGACGACAAATCTCAAGAAGCGCTATATTTTATCATCTCAACCTGTGCCCATTACTTTTGATAACTATCATCTAAGCTCCAAGCTTAGTTCTTATGCTTTAGGCATTACTTTTGATGAGGAACTTTTGTTTCCTTAGTGGTTAAATGACCGCTTGTATAGTTTCATCGAGCCTTTGCTCGTACTTGTACATCTTTTGAAAAGGAATACAACCATATATCGTTTCGAAAAAAAAAAAAAAAACCTGTGCCCATTAGAGTTTAATAATTTTGCACTCTATTCATGGAAAAATATTTTTAAAGTGAAAAATACTTCTTTTCTTTAACAAGTGTAAGCTACAAAGCACTTGATATTTTTCTGGCTCAATCACAATTATTGTCCACTTTGAAGTATGAAAGAAAAAAATTAAAGCAAATTACAAGTCTGCATTACCAGCCTCATAAGTTCTAGTTAATGCTTAACACTTATATTACACGAGTAATCTGTTAATAGCACTCAATTTTTAAACAATTAACTTAATCAGAAAGCTAATGTTAGTAGCAGATGAATTATCTCGAAAGGACCTCTATTTGTTCACATTACATCAAATTCTAAATGAATAAAAAATTATTAAAAATGACTAATTGTAGAAGCTTTAGGTAACAATTCTTTCATAAAATAGCCAAATAGGTGATTACTTAATTACATACTAAATAGCTAGGTTGAGTAAGATCTTATTAAGAGAATAATCATATATAAGCATCATATGTTAGACCTCATGAACTTCTTTAATTCCCATATTACTAAATAATCAGCTGTAGAAAAGACTAAAGCTGTTTTACTAGTAACAGATCAACATCATTCAACTAATCAACTAATTAGGTACAACAACAGATCAATAATTCTCCTTATAAAAGTCTTTGATTCTATTTATTTGTTCATTTATTTATTTTTTGGATTTGCAATCGTTGACAATATTTTGTATACATAGTGATCTCCAAGCTCTATCAGATAAAGCAAATCCAATTCTAGGTTTTGCACTGCCTTTCTGTCATCACTTCCTATCAATTCACAAGGAGCTTCAAAAAGTAACAAAAATGGTGACCAATTTGGAGATATTGTCAAAAGAGATGATTAAACCATCATCTCCAACACCCCATCACCTTAGAAACCTCCAATTATCCTTGCTAGACCAAATTGTACCATCTGCTTACATCCCTCTTATTTTCTTCTACAATGCTAACCAGTTGCAATCTAGTAACAAAGACCATCCCAAAATTGCTCAAATCCTCAAGCAATCCTTGTCTAATGTTTTGACTCAATTTTATCCCTTGGCAGGAGGGCTTACCAGTGAGATATCTTCAGTTGATTGCAATGATTCTGGTGCACTGTTTGTTGAAGCTCAAGTTCATACTACCCTCTCGGAGGTTACAGAAAAACCCATCATGGAGGAACTCAAACAATTTGTTCCTCTTGAGTCAAATTCCAGAAATGCCATGGATAAGCCCAAGACAGTAGTTCTTGCCGTTCAAATCACTTTCTTTGATTGTGGAGGCATAGCTGTAGGAGTGCAAATTTCGCACAAAATTGCCGATGGCACGTCCTTGGTTACATTCTTGAATTCATGGGCAGCAAGCTGCCGCGGAGATGATGAACATATGTTACCACCTGCTTTTGAGTGGGCGAAACTTTTTCCTCCAATAGACATGTCATGTTTTGGTTTCAAACCACCCACAGCCAAGACGAAAGAAAAGATTGTGACTGAACGCTTTGTTTGACAAGGAAAAGCTTGCAAAACTTAAACAAGCTGCTGCTTCTGCTCCTGGATCAAAAGGAAACGATCCTACCCGAGTGGAGGCTGTTTCAGCTTTCATTTGGAGCAATTTCAGAACGGCATCCAATTCTAAGAAGATGGTTACAGCATCCCATGCAGTGAACTTGAGACCGAGGATGGATCCAGCCCTTCCAGATGTCGCCTTTGGAAACCTGTGGGCAAGGACTCTTCCCATTATGGTGGCTGAGGAAGAAAGAGAGTATCACCATCTGCTTGATCAGTTGAGGAATGCTATAAGGAAAATCAACAGCAATTTTAATGCAGATGAATATTTGCTTCATTTCTTGAAGTCAGTGGAGCTAGTCCCCAAGGGAGAGATTGAGAACTGCAGTTTCACTAGTTGGTGTAGGTTCCCTGTGTATATGGTGGATTACGGTTGGGGCAAGCCTAAATGGGTATGCACCACCACCATGCCCTTGAAGAATCTTGTAATATTGATGAGTACAAGTTGTGGGGAGGGGATCGAAGCATGGGTTAACTTACTTGAAGAAGATTTGCCAAGATTTCTTAAGTACTGTATGCAACTTTGTAAAGGGAAAAATATTTAGGTGGGCTTTCTGTCAACTATCCATAGACCATATGGGTTAAAGGTGGAATGTGTTTTTAAGATTTAATCTCCTTTGAATACTTCTTACACCAGAATACTTCATTCCTTTACAACTCATATTTACTAAAAGCACTAGACCACAATAGGGTTTACGTGAATAACTGCAGCTCAAACAATTGAAAAAAAAAATGCCCAAAACGTAATTGACGTGGTAAAAAGATTAGTTAGATTATGATGGGTTCTTTTGTTTGATGCTCGTACCATTTCTTTGCCTTGTAAGTTGTGGTTGTATTATCATTTATGGCCATATTTAAGTAAATAAATCTGCAACTCATTTCCATTCTCACAAAAATCATTTCTAAACAAAAATCTTGATTGATTGATAACTCGATCATTCTCCTGATGTTTGGCCAGTTACATTGATTGATTATTTCTATATTAAATGATTTACCAACATCCATTTTTTGGTCTAGATTCATATTCATAGTTATTAAACCCGACTCGAAAAGGAACCCAATGAAAAAGGTGGGTCAACGGTCACTGGTTCAACCAGTGGGCGAGTAGTTGAATGAGTGGATTACTAAATATATTTAAATATTATGTTTCATAATTTTTGATATACGATATATGATATAATCTGTGATAAATAATATCATAGCAAAAAAAAATGCTCATTTAATTTAATTCACTATAGAATGATTAATTCATATAAGAATGAGTAAAACATAAATCTATTTAGTTTTCCACCAAACTTCAAGTGTAAAATTTTATCTGTGTTTAGTGTAATTATCTTGCTTATTTATGAATTTTAAGTGTAAAAAATTATTAAAAATAATATTTGTCTTGAAAATAAATTATGTAATAAATTATATTTGTGTTTATAACTTATAGAGTTTTAGGGTCATAAGTTTTTATTAAAAGATTACAAATAAATTTGTTTTAGAAAAATAAAAAAAATAAAGATAGAATTGACCAAATGTTCATATATTATAAGAAAGCTACTCAACTAACATATGGCAAGTGGTTTGTGGTGACTATATTATAGATACATGCCTAAGGTTTCAAGTTTGAATGTTAACAAGAGGTTGCTAAAATTTTTTCCACAAAATCGGTTCATTGACAAAACCATCTGGTTTCCAGTTTAATCCAATTGAATAGTCGAATCGTTGACCAGTCAACGGGTTCTATACTTAAGCGATCTAATTAAAAACCCAACCCGATCCCATTGCTGGTTCCCTTGGTTGATTGGGTTCAATGGTCGGCCCGGGCTGGTTTAATAACTATGTTCATAGTCAATCAATTATATGTTTTTTTGGTTGGAAAAACAAGTTTGAGTAGCTTTCAACTCCAATTGCTACCATGGGTTAGGAAATTTCCCCAGCGCTATAAGTTACTTATAGAATTTTTATATATGACTCACTAACACAACCCTCATATTAGTAGTAATATTCAAAAGTAGGACATTTTTTTGAGAAAGTGGCCGTCTTTATCAATTGAGGGAACTTGCAATGGCAAATCAATTATATTTTATTAGTGATTGATTACATAGTTTTCTTTTTGAATCAAATGGGCTCATGGATACTAGGATGGCAACGGTGTGGGATTAGAGCGGGTTTGAATGGGGAGGTTCTACAAAAATTCTCCCTTCCCCCAATCCCCACACTTCTCCTCACTCTTGCCTTGCCCAATCTATCAATTTTTATATTTTGTTTGATTTTACTTTTACTTATATATATATATATATATATATATATATATACTTTTACTAATAATAGTTTTATTGTTCACTTTTCAATTATTAGCAAAAAGGTGACTGTGAAATCACTTTGATCTTTTGAACCCATTTCTCCATATTTGGTACCACAGAATCTAAACTAATTGCTGTTGTTTCTTTATAAGGAATGAAAAAAAGAGCAAACTAACATAATAAGATTATCATTTTACCACAATAAATTGTATAAAAATTACATCATGTTATCAGAACAAAATATCATATAATTTATTTCATATTGTATATTTTTATAATAATAATACCATAGTACTTATTTTGTATTGTACATATACTATCTTAAAGTATAGACTGGGGAGGCGGGATGGGCCAGAAAAAAGCATTTTCCCTTGCCCCATTACTCTCTTTGGGAGACCGGACACCCATTCCCATTATCATCCCTTCCAAACTTAAGGAAGTCATCTTTGGTATAAATACTAGAAAAGATATTCGTCCTTTCTTTAAGAGGTTTTGGACAAAATAGTAGTGAGCCGTTATTAGATTAAAAAAAAGCGAGAAAAGAGTCTTAGACAATTTTGTGCAATGGTAAAACTAGTTGAATTGTACTTTAGACCAAGTTGCTAGTTATTAGTTTTTGTGCAATGATTTGAGGTAGGAGATTGGTCTCCCCCCACCTCCTTCATTTCCCGGTTGAGAATGATGGCTTGGGATTTTGACCAATAGATTTTTACTTTGAGTTCTTGTCATGTGCCCTTTTTTTTAATCCTTGATATATTTTGTTTAGAATCGATTGCTTCAAGTTATTTTGCTTTTAGATTGTGACTAGCTGGCAGTTTTGGCTCCATCAATTCTTTGCTATTTGCTTGAGATATTCTCCCTTTGTGAACATTTTATTCCAGCAAGTTTTTGCTGTTTGGTTGGGATATTCTCTATTAGTAGACATTTTATTCTAGCAAGTTTAGTTTGCCTTAAAAAAAAGGGGAAAAAAGTCCCAGTGGCCCTCTAACTGTTAGCCGGATGAACTTTTGGCCCCTTAATAATTAAGAGTGAATTTTTGATCGCCAATTTATCCAAAGTGTAAAATGTTGGACCCTTTGTTAAGTTCAGAAATTAATACCGATGGAAACCACAACCACGTGAGGCACATGGTAAAATACGATGGGCATTTTAGTTCGCGATGGGCTGTCTTTCGCTCCATAAAAGTGGCAGCAGCTAAGAGGAATGTAAACAGTTGGTGCAATTTGGTCTTCGAAGAATGCGCCCCATTTTCTTAGATGTTGCAGATTTTAGTAGTGGATCGACGAGAAGATGTGTTGCTGGTCAACGGAGATCATACCTAGCTTTCTTAGAAAAATTAATGTAGCTAAACAACAAAGAGGTAGGTACAAAGGAGAAGTAAGAAGACAAGAAAGGAAAGTCACAAAGTTGAAGGTCAAAGTGAAAGAACTAGAAAAAGAAATCCGTAGCAAGAAATAGGAGAACAAGTGTTTGGTGAGATTGCTTTTGTTAACATGGATACTTACAACTATAATCTTGGTCAACTGGGGTAAAAAAAGTGGAAAACCTCGTGGCTTTTAGGCAAATAGAAGGACCATTATGAAGATTAATCAAGTGGATCTGTGTTATCAATTTTCTACTCTATAGTGATTGTATCAGTAGAAAGGCAATAAAATCTGAGTTTTGATTTGTTAAATGAAAAATTAGGCATGCTTTGTTGAAAAGATCAGCTTATATTTGCAATGCTTTGTGTTTGGTTGAGAGTGTTGTACTTTATTTCCTGTGAATTCATTGTTGAAGCACATTTCCAGTAAACTGAATATACTATATATGTAGACAAAGACATGGAAAAGTGCAAGAAGTGGGGTAGGCAAACATAAAGACCATTGAGTAGGCAAATGTAAAGACCATTATATTCAAAAGCTGACCCTGTATAAACAATGTTGTTGTCAATGGTCTACAAAAATATAACCAAAATCCAAAACGCAATCATCACCAACAAACAGTTGATTGGAATTCATCCACTAGTAGCCAATAAGACTGGATATTGTAAGACAAAAAATAGTTGAAATAGCTGTTCCTAGTCCCATTTCTTTTCCGATTTGTCTTCCTCTCCCTTTGCCTCTTCCACTCCATTTTCCTCTCCAAGAACCAACTGTGAATGGTGGCTTCTTACACAACTATGCATAGTTAGCATTTGTGGCTCCCTTTTCTATATCAGTGAGTGGCTTCCTAGTTGAAGTTTTATTGCTATGGGTCATTCGACATGTCTGCTAACTTCGGTGTAGAGTAGATGTTTGTTGCCGTTTTGTGGCTGTTGAATGTCTCGTTGTGGTTGCTGCTACCCAACTTCATGAACATGGACTTGGTATGGCTGTTGCTACATTTGTTGTGGCTGCTGTTGCATAGTTTCATGAACCTGCTATTGGTGTGGCCTTGCTGATTGCACTACCTGCATAGCTTTGTGAAATATGTTCCTAAATAGGGAAAAGTCAAAATCAATCTTGTGTGGTTGCACTTATTATTTGCCTCCTCTTTCTTGTAGTTGGTTGCAGCCTCCTAGGTTCAGTTAAACAATGACCTTGTTGCTGGCTTTGTTCATTAGTTGGCTGCTTACATGTTGCTGCATTATGACCTACCTCCCCACATTTTTTACAATGAATGATGATCCTTCTTCTTAGTTTTCTACTGTGGTTTTTGCCTTTAGTTGTGTCCTTTCTCCTAGCTTTTCTACGCTTACCAGGTTGAGCAACTGTGACTGGTGGCCCCAATTCAGGCATTATTGACGGGGGCCAATGATCCTCACCACTAATTGGTTGCAACACATTTTGATAAAGCTTGAGGAATAGCTGCCTACTATAACAAACATTCAAGTACTCCCGTGGGTCTTCATTCCTCAAAAGAATGGCAGCAATGGCATGACAACATGGAATGCTACTAACCTCCCATAACCTGCAAGTACAATTCCTTTTCTCCATATCTATAGCAAATTAGGCCTCTCTTGGACCTTTCACCTGGTAACCATGCAGTGCATTCCAAATGGGAATCCACTGACTTGCAATTTTGACCCTATTTTCAATAATTTCATTAATTAGAGGTCTAGTTGGATTCTGATATCTTTCCATTGATGATTTCTCTTCTAGATCCTATCCATAAGGTACTCCCTGATCATTTCTATCATTCCCATCATTGTTATAATAGGTTGCTCTCTAGCCTCAAGAATAAATGCATTAAAAGACTGACATAAGTTGTTGACCAGCATGTCACTTTTTGTGTGAGTTGGAAAGAAGGTCTTGCACCAATGCCGAGGAACCAAACTCACACTTGAAGGAACCAAACGACTTAACAATTGGAAAGCACCTCCCCTTAAATTCTCTATTTTTCCATCCTACAATCAACACCAATTCCTCTCAAATCAACCACATACAAATCATAGACTATAAAACACACCTTTGTCTCTTGTAATTGTAGTCATTTGTAGAGGCATACAACTAGTAGTCAAGCCTCACTTGTGCATTCCGTTTACTCGATTTTGGATGTGGACACTTCAAATGTTTTACTTTGGTTATTTTAGGGTTTCTTGGCGATTAAGGCCACTTTGGGTAAAAATTTTGAAGTACCTGTACTTGAACTGGTGAGTGTACCACTTTCCTAATTTGTTGCTTATCTGGCTATCCGTGACTTCTGTATACTCTGTATGAAACGAGGGTGTACTTAATCACTCTCGTTTCTCTCGTCTGTTTACTTTGTTTCCTGCATACTGTATAAGTCTGTATTTGCTCTCTGTATCTGTTATCTGTATCTGTTCTCTGTATAAGTTTGCGATCTCTGAACTCAAAACCTGTGGCTAGTTACTCAAGTCGAGCTAGCAAGGGCCAGATCGATTAGGTAACGAACCACGGTAGTCTGTTTCTAGAAATCTTTGGGTATTAAGACTCTTGATTCCTGTATACTCGAGTATTACCATTTCTATTTCTGTTGAGGTGTTCGGGTCCGGTAAGGGGTATATTTGATGGATAGAATTTGGCGTAAAATGGGGTCTACGGACATGTTGGTTCTATATACGTTGACGGAGAGTCAATGGGTTTGGATCAAGTACTGCAACGAAAATCTGGCTCCTGAGAGCCACCTGTATCCTTCCTATTTGAATCACTGTGTCTAACTGCTTTACCTTATATCTGGCATGTGTATCTAATTGGTTAAACATAAAATGCCATGATTTTGTTACTATATGTTTGGTACCTCATTGAGCGTAAGCTCACCCCTCCTCATTATCTTTGTTTTCCTTACAGGAACCACTTTTAGAAATCATGATTTTGAGATGCGAGTTGAGCTAGTTAGATGTTCTTTTGTTCTTTTGTATAGCTCCTCGACCATTGGAAACCCTCAGTGTATCTCAATCCCATGTTTCCTTTTGATTTGTACACTTTACTACAAGTATATAGGAAAGTGTTTTCTCATGTTTTATGGTACATTTACTTGGAAATGTATACTCTCTAATGTTAGTTAAACTTTATTTGTATTTTGGTGGGGTTTTGGACGAGCGTGGAAATCGAACGAGGAAAGAAGAAAAATTTTGTCGGAAACTGTTCACCGAATCCGGCTGGATATCTGGCCGGATTTGCAGGGGAGTTTGAAAAAAAAGGATTGAGCTATTGCCTCCAATCTGGCTAGGAATCTGGCCGGGTATCCTGCCAGAAACCAGCCGGATTGTGATGTGGCAGTTACTGTTCATTTTCAGTTTCGTTTCATTTTTCCGTTTTCCTTTTCGTTGAAGTGTTTAATTGATGTTCCATTTCACCGTATGATTTGGTAAGTTATACTTGAGCTTGGTGGGTTTCAGTTGTTCATTTTCTTAGAGTTCGATCGCGCGTAATATAGGGTTTGTGTGACTCGACTTCGTAGCTCTGGCGAGAGTTGGGCAGGCGGTCCGCTAAATCCTTTGGTTCACCTTAGGGGGAAGTGGGGCTGTCAGAGGTGGTATCAAAGTTTAGGTTTCAGATCTCTGTAGTGTATCCTACGCTAAAGTTTAGGATGTCGGACTGTGGGACTGGTTTGAAAGTGGTAAGCGTAAGATATGACCTGGTTGCTCCCAAGCGTACATCAACCGATTCTGGTACTAGCATACGGCCTGAGTTGTACAATTTCTTTACTTTGAATTCTTGTACTTAAGTACTCGATACTTTTCCTGAGGAAATGCTCATGAATGTAGAAGGAACATGGTCTAATGTATGCACAGAGGATTTTGTATTGTACTCGACACTTAACCGAATGAGGAGATTGGAATGATGAATGTTATCTAGAACTTGTCCAACAAGATTTTTGCTAGGATTTTGATAGATTATGGTGGTGGCCGGAATTGTTGAGAAAAGTGTTGGTTTTGCATCCTTCTTCTAGTTTTCTTGTTTGATTAAGGTTTACACCACCCGATTTGTAAGTGTTGAGATTTGAAATATTTGAACTGCCTGAGACCTATTAGGATGAGTTCATTTGAGATTTGAACTTGTTTAGGCGAGTGTGTTCTTACGTGCACTTAGTGGACCTGATTTGATTGAGTATATGGTATCTCTTTTATACATGAGCAAGTAGTTTGATTCGTATATGACTTTTATGTGGACTTGAAGTCTGTGACCGCTTGAGAATGTGAATTACTGGGCCTAGGCTAGGCAAGTGAGTTCTTATTCGTATTCGTGCACCGTGAACCTAAAGTAATTGGCTCTGCTTTTGAACTTATTTGTTTGAACCCTGTTTTGACCTTGCTTTTAAACTTATTCGTACTCGTGTGGTTGTAGACCGGCTACTACTCTTCTGTAGCGGTTGAACTGAATCTTTCTGGTGGGGCATTGCCTGTTGTGTTTTCAAGCACCGCTATTCTTTTGGCGAGGCATGCCTGTTTTGTTTTCAAGCACCGTCAGGGATGAACTTCTTGAACTGAACCTCTCTGGTGGGGCATTGCCTGTTGTGTTTTCAAGCACCGCCAGGGATGAACTTCTTGAACTAAACCTCTCTAGTGGGGCATTACCTGTTGTGTTTTCAAGCACTGTCATTCTTCTGGCGAGGCATGCCTGTTGTGTTATCCAGCACCACCAGGGACAAATTCTTGCACTGAGGCTCTTTGGTGAAGTTTAGCCGTTGTGCTAACTTGTTGTGTTTTCAATCACCACCAGGGACGATTTCTTGAACTGAGACTCATTGGTGAAGTATAGCCGTTGTGCTAGTTTGTTGTGTTGTCCAGCACCGTCAGGGGTAAACATTTCCGACTTGAGGTTAAGCCATGTTCTAAATTTTTTTCGAATATCTGGGACTTTATTTCCAACTCATGGCTAGTTGATTGAACCGAACCCTTTTGCATATTCTCTTTGGTTACTTGTTTAGCTATTTGTTGGCCGTTATAAAGTGATAAATGGGATTGGAGTGATTTTTGGTACTTGATTGACTTTCGAGGACTATTTGGATCTGATTAGTACAAGTTGGAATGTTGAGGACGACATTCTTTTAAGAGGGGAAGTTTGTGATGCCCGAAAGAAGAAGAAAAGGAAAAATTCTGGTGAATAGTACTTTTAGGGAATCCGGCCACATATCCGGCCAGTTCTTGGCAGGATTGCTGGCCGGATTGGTTTGGTGGTTTGAAAAAAAAAATTGATTGAGAAGCCACTGCCTTGAATCCGGTCAGAATCTGTCGTGGATCACTTTTCTTAGTGATTAAGTCTTCATCTTTTGGCCTTTATTTAGAGTTCAAAACCTATTTTTCTTTTCTTGGCTTGACCGAACAACTTGAGGGAGAGAAAAGAGAGGAAATACTTCATATTGCACTTCAGTTCCTTGCTTCTATCTTGAGTTCCAACCGATTAAATCACAAAGTACTCCGTACAAAGTGCTAGCTAGGAAGGATTAAGGAGGTTGGTGGAGTTATTTTGATGGGGCAAGCTCTAAGCTACAAATTTTCTTGGGGTTTAAAGGTATCTTGTCAAGAACTTCCTTTTTACTTCAATAAATTGTGTATTAGTGGATTAGAGAGGTTAAATATGTTGTTTTGTGGATAAGTTTATGGTTTGAGGTAATATTATGGAATTTTCAATTTTATTGGGGATTTTTCTGCCTTTATATGATGAGTAATGATTAGCCATGGTTTGATAGCTTTAGTATGAGATATATTGAAGTTTTATAGACTAGTTTAACTTGCCTAAAGAAATATTTGGTTTGTGTGCATAAATTCCAGCTTAGGGTTAGTAATCTGCCCTGTTTTTGCACTGAATGTTTGACCTTGAAAGAGACTGAATCAGCCCTTGCCCAAAACATGAAAGTTGTATATATACGAGTTAGCTATCTGCCTGCAAAATTTTAGATTGATTGGAGTATTGTAGCATGTAAAATGACCGAAATATCCTTAACTGCCCTAACCCCTATTT